GGTCATTGCAATAAGGTAACGATAGAATTCAGTTACCATAACTCATGTCATCGAATGGATTCGTACAGGCGAAGCAAAAAAAGCATGTGATTGCATAAGACTCTTTCGTCGAATGTAAATGATTATTGTGAAAATTAGATGTGGCAAAAGGCCGAAAGTATGGAGCACCTAAATGAAAGCGCAAAAAATTTACACAGACAGCTCCTACGAGTGTGGGCTGAAATGTTCATAGGCTGATTATGAAGTAATGATGCTAGAGCTGTGAAATTTTGCATGCATTCATTTCAAATATTCATATTAATAACTGTATTGTTTCCTTCCAGGTACGAGGGTCGGCTGAAGTGCCAGTGGTGAACCAAAAACTTGGAGAGTTGAGATAAAGGGAAATAACTGAGACATCGGGAAGAGGCATGGTACGTGGAACTAGAAAAATCTACCACGGGGGACGAAATAATGGGTCCGATTCAAAATTACAATCACCTGAAAAACGCCGGGGTGCACAACGACTGAAAAGTTGTTAATATTACAATGAATATGAGGATAATAGTTCGAATAATGTAAATGATGTAATTAAAAGCAAAATGTTAAAACAAGCTATCCCGACAGTCCCCCGTGGTGTGGAATGTCACTACTGTTTCTTTGTTTCCTAGAAACACTTCGTGTACCACCAGACAATGGTTCGCGTAACAGAACGGGTACCCGTACCACATTGGGTAGCACTGGACTAGATAACGGTTGCCGCCTAGACGAAGACATTAAAATAGATATGAACACCTTGATATATATATATATATATATAGATAGATAGATAGATAGATAGATAGATAGAGATAGATAGGTAGATAGATAGATAGAGAGACAGACAGACAGACAGACAGAAAGAGAGACAGACAGACAGAGAGATAGGCAGGCGTGAAGAGACTGAAATCGATATTGAATACACTGAGAGAGATAGATATATAGATAAACGGCCTGATATATATATATATATATATATATATATATATATATATATATATAAACAAAACGGAAGTCATACCTAAGGTACCTTTCGGACAATGCTTTTTCAAAGATATTCGTTGGCAATATTAGATATAATAATTAACATTTCTCTTTTGGTCGAGTTCCACCTTTTCCTCATTTCTTTTATTAAGTGTGTCTTTGTATTCATTTACATCTAATATTGCCAACTAATACCTTTGAAAAAGTGTTGGCGAAAAGGTACCTTTAGGTATGACGTCCGTTTTGTTTAAGACTATATATCAGTTCTTTGGGTACAAATCTCCGTTCGTTTATACATATATATATATATATATATATATATATATATATATATATATATATATATACAAGTATAGGATTGGTGGATTAAGTTCCAATAAGCAACAACTACTATTCTTAAAAGAGTATTCAATACAGAGTAGAGCAGATATAATTATTTATTTAAAAATTATAACATAAATATGTTATAAAATCGCTACAAAAATAGCCATTTAGTTTCAACACCTCCGGTGTCTTATCAAGTGATGATGTTGAATGTAGAATAAATGGTTTTAAAAGTTTCACATTAATTAACGATCCTTCGCAAGGGGAAAACGCTGTTACATAAGGATCGTTAATTAACTTGAAACTTTTAAGACCATTTATTCTACATTCAACATCATCACTTGATAAGACAGCGGAGGTGTTGAAACAAAATGTCTATTTTTGTAGTGATTCTTTTACATATTTATGTTGTAATTTTTAAATAAATAATTATATATATATATATATATGTATAGATATAGACAGACAGATAGATAGATAGATAGATAGATAGATAGATAGATAGATAGATAGATAGAATAGATGATGAGACTGAGATAATGAAGATGCTGCGATAGATATATATATATATATATATATATATATATATAGATAGATAGATAGATAGATATAATATAATATAATATATATATATATATATATATATATATATATATATATATATATATATATATACGTATGTGTGTGTGTGGGAGAGAGACAGACAGACAGACAGAGACACAGAGAGATGAACAATGAATAGATCATAACAGACAGAAAGAAAGATAGATAATGAGCAGACATATATATATATATATATATATATATATATATATAGCTAGATATACTAAATACACAAATGCACCATGTTACTTATGCACAGAGCAGAATGTGCATTCACAAAATTATATGTGCCCCATATTGCAGCCAATTGCAACATTTCTTTGTACTCTTTCTATGATTCTCTCTTCATGTGAACTTGTCCTTTTTCGAGGTTCATTTAGTTTGGTAAAACTAGCAAGTCACATATTACGAACGTACTTCCTTTATGTGTTTAACTCATATATTAACAGTTTTTAGTCAGCATCCTTCCTTTTTGTGTTCGATTATAAACGCCAGCTCGTAAAAAAACAAAAAAAACAAAACAAAACTTGGATCTATATCGTTGAACGACCGTTCGTGTGTTTGCCGGCGCATGTGCCTACACATAGGTGAATCTATATGTCCATCTCTTTTTAGAGGACGCGGTTGCTCCTCGCAAACCGATACACCTATCGGGGCGTACTTGCATTGTTTTCGCCTGCCATACACGTTCTTCCATTAAAATCAAATTTTAACAAAGCCCACCACTACATTTCAGCCCGACTTCTCCAACAAAGACTCGCCCTCCCGCCTCTAACTCCATTATTCTCCCCGACCAACACCAACGACCCCTTACGTCCATTCTATCAACATTATCACCAGAGACATCAGCACTATCAATACTTTTTTTTTTCATCCTCTTCCTACACATCTTTGGTGACCTCCTCTTCCTTCTGATTCTGGCTTTCCGACATCATATATCTTCCCAGCCTCCTGATGGCTACCTTACTAATATTTCTACTTTTCCTTACAAGCTCTGAATGTTATCTCCAACGTAAAACATAGCAGCTTTCTAAGATTTTTTCTTGTATCGTTGTAATTATTTTTTTATAATTTAGTGGAGCCCCTTCATCTGTAATTATGGTAACAATAATATAGAAATATCCTCCGTAACTCGTTTCTATTCACCTTAAATCTAATTCACTATTAATATTTTACGAACTACTTTTAATTTTATTAAATTATTTTATTTTTCTCTTTTAATAATTTTACCTTATACGTAGTCATTTTATTTGTTTTTTTTTTTTATTCTGAATTTTCTTTTAAATTACAACGACGTACGATTTTTATCTTTTTCATTCCTTTTAGTACTATCATTCCTCCATTTTTATTTTTTCCTCTATATCTTTTCTTACAATTTCTCGTCCCTTTTTGTTTGTACTTTTTTTTTCTCTTCTTTTTATCACATCTGCTGTCTTATTCGTTTTCTTCTCTTTTTCCATCTACTTCTTTTAACTCGCTTTCCCTGCTTCTTTCATTTTCTTTCTCTTTCTATTCGTCCTCTTTCTCTTGCCTACTCGTTTGTTTTTTCTCTCTTTTTCTTTGCGTATGTTTCATTCGTATTTTCTTCCATTCACGTTTGCTTCTTTTCTTTGATTTTAATGCAAGACTCTTTTTTGTCTGCTTTCTCCTCGACCCTTTTTAACCATTTTCTTATCTTTTTGTTCTATTTCTTTGCAACTGTTTTTCTTTCCCTCTTTTTCTTTTTCTTCACTTTTCCTTCTGCATTTATTTATCTGCCTCCATTTTATTTCCTTTCGTCTGCTTTCTCTTCATTTGTGTATTTTCTGCAGGTTATCTTTTATTTCTTTTCGCCGGCTTTCATTTTCTTTTTTCTTTTTTCATCTCCTTTTTTATTCATTTTCACACTGGCTTCCTTTCGTCCATTTGCTCTTCTTCGGTACGTTTTCTTTTCCTTCTCTAGTTTTCGTCTGCATTCTTTTCGTCTCTCTTTTTTTCCGCCATTTTTCTCCTTATCCTCTATTTCTTTTCGCCCACTTTCTGTTTCTGTTTTTGCTCGTTTATCTTTTTTCTTCACTTTTCCTTTCTACTTCTTATCGTACATTTTGTTTGCCCCTTTTTTTGCTGTCTTTTCTTTCTACTTCTATTGATCCGTTTTCTTTCTTTTTTCTTCACTTTTCCTTTCTAATTCTTTACACTTGTCTTCTCTTCGCTCATTTTTTCCCCTTTTCTTTTCCTCTACTTTTTCCAATTTTTCGTACTTTTTCTTCTATTTTCCTTCTCTTTCTTTCCGCGCAGCTTCTAATCCTCGCTCATTAGTCCTTTTTCTCTTTCCCTTTCCCGTCATATTTCTTTTCATCCTCTCTTTCTCTTTCTCTTTCCCTTCCTATTTCTTTTCATCCTCTCTTTCTCTTCCTTTTCCTATTTCTTTTTATCCTCTTTCTCTTTATTTTTCCCGACCAATTTCTTTTCGCCCTCTTTCTCTTTCCCCTTCCTATTTTTTCACATACCTTTTTTCTTTCCTTTGCTGTTTCTTCTTTTCTTCTTCCTCATTCTCTTTCCCTTCCTACTTCTTCTTACCCTCTTTTTCTTTCCCTTCTAATTTCTTTTCGTGCTCTTTCTCTTTCTCTTTCCCTTCCTATTTCTTCTCAGTCTCTGTCTGTTTCTATTTCTTCTCATCCTCTTTTTCTTTCTCATTATATTCTTATTACTTTTCATCCTCTTTCTCGTTCTTTCTCCTATTTCTTTTTATCCTCTTTCTATTCCTATTTTTTCATCCTCTTTCTATTTCTCTTTCCTTTCCTATTTCTTTCAATCCTTTTCTCTTTCCCTTCATATTTCGTTTCGTTCTCTCTTTCTTTCTCTTTCCCTTCATATTTCTTTTCCTTCTCCTTCCTTTCCTATTTCTTCTCATGCCCTTTCTCTTTCCCTTGCTATTTCTTTTCCTCTTCTTTTTCTTTCTCTTTCCTTTCCTATCTCTTTACATCCTCTTTTTTCTTTATCTCTTCTTTGTCATGTCTCTTCTCATTTTTTCTTTCCATCCACTTACTTTTTTCTTGCTCATTTTTCTCTTTATTTCTTTCATGCATATTTTCGATCTTATTCTCTTTTCTTCCTTTGATTTTTCTCTTGTCCATGACCCTCCTTGTTTTCCTTTCTTATTTCACTTCCAGCTTCATTTATCTTTTGCTCTTCTTTTTGATCTGTTTTTTTTTTCTTCTTGTCCTGAGGCTTCCTTCCCAGTCTTCATCGTTTTCTTTTCTCTTCTTTTTTTCTTATCTTGTCTCTCTGTCATCATTTTTACTTGTTCTTCTCTTTTTCTCGGCGCATTCTACATGATTTTCTACCTTTATTTTTCTCCCTCTTCTCTTCATCTTTCTTTCTCTTTCCGTCTCTTTTTTTTCTTGTGTTTCTTTTCTTCTATTTTCTCACTTGTCTCTCTCTCTCTCTCTTCGCGTCCTCCACCTTCCATTTTCTCCAATCCCCCCCTCCTTCTCCGCTGAGTATCTTTAATTCTGTTGTTTGCTCTCCCTCCTTTTTATCTATTTCATCGACCTTTTTTCTCCCTTTCTTTTCATTCTTTTTCTCTCGCCCTTCCTATTTCTTCTCATCCTCTTTCTCTTTTTCTCTCTCTTCCAATTTCTTTACCCCCTTTTTCTCTTCTCTTTCTCTTTCCATTCCTATTTCTTCTCAGCCTCTTTCTCTTTTTTCTCTCTCTTCCTATTTCTTTTCCTCTTTTTTCTCTTTCTCTTTCTTTTTCTTTTCCTATTTCTTCTCATCCTCGTTCTCTTTCCATCCCTATTTCTTCTCAGCCTCTTTCTCTTTTTTCTCTCTCGTCCTATTTCTTTACCCCCTTTTTCTCTTCTCTTTCTTTTTCTTTTCCTATTTCTTCTCATCCTCTTTCTCTTTCCATCCCTATTTCTTCTCAGCCTCTTTCTCTTTCACTTCCTATTTCTTTTCGTCCTCTTTCTCTTTCCCTTCCTATTTTTTCTTCCAATTTATTTTTTCTATTTTCCTTCTTATGTCTTTGCCTGTAGATTATTTTGTGTTTATTTTAATCTCAATTCTTTTATTCAATTCGTGATTCCTATTCGTTTTCCTCCTCGTTTTTATTACACTTCCTTTTTCTTGTCTCTTCTTCTTCTTCTTTACTACGATCTCTCTCTCTCTCTCTCGCTCTCTTGCTCTCCCCTTCTCCTCACATTAAATTATACTGATTCTATTCCCATTTTTCTCTTTCATTCTATCGCCCTTTGTTTTCATTTCGTTGAACACTCTCTTTAATTTCATTCTTCTGTACAAGCGTCTTCTCGTTGAATATCGCTTCTTCTCGTTGAATATCGTTTCTTCTCGTTGAATATTGCTTCTTCTTGTGGAATATGGCTTATATCTTTTTCTCTCCTTCTTTATTTAATTTTAAATTTATTTATTTTTTTACCTAATTCTAAGACATTCACTCCACTTGGGAGACATCTTCGTTGTCACCGCAACCGCGTCACCCTTCCCTTTGGTGTAATCATTGCCAGCCTTGATGTCTCCCTTGTAATCACCACTACCTATATTTCCGACCTGCCCACCCTGTTCCAGCTCCTGCTTTAGAAAAGATTCCTCCACTGAAAATTTTATTCTCTTCTCTCATTTCCAAGACAAGGGACGTGAGTATTGTAATGGGTTGTGAGGACAAAGTTGCGGAAGTAGGTGTGGAATTTGAGCTTTTGACATGGGCTCGTTATTTGATTTAAATTTCCAACGCGCCGATACTGACATACCACTGCCGCTGCTTCAGCCATTCATTACCAGAATTGAACATATATATATATATATGTGTGTGTGTGTGTGTGTGTGTGTGTGTGTGTGTGTGCGCGAGAAATAGAGAGAATGAAGCTACTAAGAAGAGAGAAAATAATTAAAAAATACGAGTGGAATATTGATTACGTTTATTTTACGCTTTAAAAACCAGTGTTTAATGAAGGACAAAGCAACTACCGAACGTAGTCCTTCCAATATGGCCGAGTGTTTAGAAGATTCGCATTCGGACCACGTGACCCACCATGGTCGATTTGCCAGGAAGGAGACTTCCTCATGTTATCGGATTGAAGGGGTCGATCCTTTGGAAAGTAAACTAAAACTATTGCCTCTTCAGCTTTTTTGCCTACATTGCCTCTTCAGTGATTTTTCTTTTTTTACCCAACCTAGTCATTTCAGTTTAGTTTTTACCTTCATTCCCTCTTCAGTCTTTTTCTATTTTCACTGCTTTGCCTCTTCTCTTTTTTTTGGCGGGGGGGGGGGGATTTAGTCTAACTTGCCACTTGAGTCTTTTTTTCTCTTTTCCCAATCTTATCTCTTCAGTCTTTTTGGGTATCAGCCTACCTTGCATCTTCAATATTTTTCTCTTTGTTTACTTTGCCTCTTCAGTCTTTTTCTCTTTTTCCCAACCTTGCCACTTGAGTCTTTTTTTCTCTTTTCCCAATCATGCCACTTTAGTTTTTTGGCTTCAGACTACGTTGCCTCTTCATTACTTTTCTCTTTTCCAAACCTTGGCTCTTGTCTTTTTCTCGTTTCCCAAACTTGCCTCTTCAGTCTTTTTGACATTAGCTTACCTTGCCTTATCAGTTTTTTTCTCTTTTCCCTACCTTGCCTCTTCAGCATTTTTCCCTTTTCTAGCCTTGCCTATTCAGTATATTTGACCAGCCTACTTTGCCTCTTTTGTCTTTTTTCTCTTTTCCCAGTCTTGCCTCTTCTGTGTTTTTGGCTTTAGTCTACCTTACCTCTTCTGTTTTTTTTAGCATCAGCCTACTTTCCCTCTTCGGTCTTTTTCTCTTTTCCCAACTTTATCCTTTCAGTCTTTTTGGATTTAGCTTTCCTTGCGTCTTCAGTTTTTTCTCTTTAGCGTACCTTGCCTCTTCAGTCTTTTTCTCTTTTCCCCAAGTTGCCTCTTAAGTATTTTCGCTTCAGTCTTTTTATTTTAAAATCCCTTTATTTTTTTCCATTCTTCTCTTTCCTCCAAGTATTCTTTCTTGCTCTCTTTCTCTTTTCTTTTTTGTTTATTTCTTTTATTTTCCCCCTTGTTTATCAACTTTTCCCACGTGTTTTCTTCTGTCTCCCTTCCATTTTCATTGGACACACACTCACACACGTATGCTTTTATACCCCCACATATATACTCTTCTTTATATTACTCTATAAAGTTCTTTAAATTCTATAAAGTTTCTTTTTTCATACTTTATTTTAATGTCTCTCTTTATCCTCATTCCACTTTTTTCGATTCGTCCCATTTTTTTCTTTAATATCGTTTTCTGATGTTCTCCATTTTTAAAATTCTTTCTTTCTTGCTTTATCCCCGTTCTTTTTGCAGATTTATTCTTTAGTAAGCTGTTTATTCAAGGGTAGGTTATGTTTCTCTTTATTACTATAGGATAATGACAAATTCCAGCAGTAAAGCAAAAAATCCTATAATAATAAGAGTGATGTTTGAATATCCAGAATATTTAACCACGTTATCCTTAGGTAAGTTATCAGTCGTTTTTTTTTTCTTTTACGATACCCTCTGTTATAAAAACTACTCCAAATAAAGTTTTCGATTTTTGCATTAAATAAATTAAATATTTACTGCAATATGAAAAATCATTGACGATTGAACACCAAATTTCACAATTCTTTAATTGATTATGTACAGAGAGTTATTATATGTTGTGTTATTATGTGTAGGTTATTATATGTAGGGTTATTATATGTAGGTTTATTATATGTAGGTTTATTATATGTAGGGTTATTATATGTAGATTATTATATGTAGGGTTATTATATGTAGGTTATTATATGTAGGGTTATTATATGTAGGTTATTATATGTAGGTTTATTATATGTAGGTTATTATATGTAGGTTATTATATGTAGGTTTATTATATGTAGGTTTATTATATGTAGGGTTATTATATGTAGGTTATTATATGTAAGGTTATTATATGTAGGTATATTATATATATAGTTATTATATATAGGTTATTATATGTAGGTTTATTATATATAGAGTTATTATATGTAGGTTATTATATGTAGGGTTATTATATGTAGGTTATTATATATAAGTTACCTAGATAAACCTATTTTGTATATATATATATATATATATATATATATATATATATATATATATATATATATATGTATGTATGTATGTATGTATATATAAGTTACTGGAAGAAGATATATCCTTAATTTAAAAATATGGCCAATGGTTGTGTTATATAGGAATAAGGTGTGGCTGCCGGCAGTTGAGTTTGAACATAGATCGCCAGTGAGTAAACACAGGCGATCCTATTATTCAATTAAGTAGACCACGTTACCATAGAAAAAACGCATATGTAGGAAGTTGCATGACGTCTAAATGATCATTATTTCTACTCTTTCCTTTATACTATAGAGACCGCTATTCACTATACCATTTCTCTATTTTGATCACTATACGGATTACTATTCGAGCGAATATTAACGACAAGTATTATTGGCGCGAGTGATATTCGAAGGCGTCTGACACTAATATTGTTCAATGGCGTTATTATATGTTGTATCTGCGATTACAAAGTCACTACTACAACGTGGATTACAAAATGACAACGAGTATTCGTTGACATCAGAAAATTGGCAACTATGATTCACAAGTATTCGCGACGATTCGTTCAATTTACACGAGGATTGGTTCAGTAGACCACAGCAAAATGGAAGAACTAAAAGCAATCATGGTTCAAACGTTGGCATTACAAAAGTGGCAACAAAAACAACAGTTGCAGCAACAAAAATTACAACAAGAACAACATTTGCAGCAACAAAAACGACAACATAAACAGGAATTATAATTGCAACTAAAACTACAGAAGTTTTTTGTGTTTGTCTATATTTCTGAGATGAAGTATTATGTACAGTATTTACATCTTTGTCGCCATATTTTTTCACAACGTTTCGGCCGTTGTACGCTCCGGCCTTCTTCAGGTGGTTGGAATTTCGAACTGAACCCTTTATTTCGATCACTGGGGTAGACTGTTCAAATTCCACGTGCCATGTTTGATGGATGTCAGTTATCAGTTATCTCCTGTTACTTTTCCCTCTGAAAGTTCTCCACTGCCTTAACCGGGTATTAAACTCACACTCTTTGGGTCTGTCACTGGATCTAACCAACGCCTTTATCCACTGTGCCATGTGTCCTTGAGGATAACCATTACAGGAAAAACTTCAGATTCATTCACTCCAGATGCTGTGGCTAATTCAATCAGTGAGCTTGTGTACAATCCAGACGAAGGGATAACTTTCCAGCTTATTATAAAAGATAAACAAATGGATCTTCAAAAGCGATCGTTTGCATTGGAATGATTAACAGAAATTTCGGTTATTATTAAGGAAATTGCTGAACATGAAAAATATGTGAATTATGTTTTACCGAAAACCAGGAGATATTAATTTTGATGAAATAAATAATTAAATAAATAAAAAAACAATCAAAATAAATTAATCCAAATAAATAAATCCCTCCCGCCAAAATAACCGTTAGAATAGACTACCCACAATGCACCACTGACCCGTATATATAAATAGTCGAAAAAAAAAAACTCAACACATGTGGCTTGATGAGTGCGTCTAGCATGAAACAGTCTGTCGGTTGAGTGTTGACTTCAATATTCATTTTTATATTTATATTAAATATATATATATATATTTAATATATTTATATTTAGTTTTTCTAATATTCTTAAATTTTTCGTTTCGTCAGTACCAACATTTTCCTTCTCTGTCATATTCAGAGAAACTATATATATATATATATATATATATATATATATATATATAAAGAAAGAACAGTAAGATATATAATGAGGTGTTCTTATAGATGTTTTTATTTTTACAAAATAGTGTTCAATGTAAATTTACAGAGCATTAATATTATAAATTAATTGATTTGATTTTTTACGCTACACAGTTCTAACCATGTTTCAAAAATGGAAGCTAAAAGCTCGAATTTAATTTTGTAATTAAATTAAAGACATTTGTTCCATTTCATACTCTCTTGAGGAAACCATATTTTAAATCAATTAATTTTATAATATATATATATATATATATATATATATATATATATATATATATATATATATGCGCCCTTTCTATTTTTTGTCTCTATCTTTTTCATCCCAGGTCGATAATATATGTATATAATATTTGCACACGTGACGGAACTATCTTTAGTTAAACATTAACATCTCGCTGACAACAGCAATTAGCTCCATCAGTATTCCTGTCACCATTGTGACAAAATAATCTACTTCACACGTATCTGCACCACCATTATTTCTGCTGAATTTTATGGTTATAAGAGAAACTAATACGATAGCAAGATGTACGCAACTATGGCTGAAACTATTATAACTACTGCTGTCTTCATTATTGCTAATATGAAGACAATTCAATTTGAGGCTTCCGTGAAAGGGACACTATAGTTTTCCTTCTGCAAGCTTGGCCGTTTAAGAAAATTACTTATCGCTAACGTTCAGCTCTAGTAAATATTTCTTAATACTATTCAACATACTTTTTGCATTTTTCTGGTCAATGACCATTTTTTATTTTATTATCAAATGTATTTTAAATAGATATAAGTATAGGAAGATATTGATGGATGGATAGAGAGAGAGAGGGGAAGATAGAGAGATAACAATTCGTATGTGAACAAATATGCATAAACCTCGTCACAAAACTAACATATTTTAAAATGCAGTACAATCACCTGGCCTAAATTTACCACCATGATGCATGCGGGAATATGCTTATATAATGACACAGGGTTAAGTCTATCCTTTTCTCTTTCTGTCTAATATATATATATATATATATATATATATATATATATATGCAGCATATTTTCATTCAAGCAAGTTTGGTTGAATAATCTAGACACATTATGTTTATTTTTTATTTTATTGCTCTCAAATTAACGGATCAATATCTTCGTGTTGTTAAAACATAATTAAGAATGACGCCGTAGTTTTTCTCATTCCTTTTATTTTCACAAGTACTTTAAATGTCATCCAGGTTCATCGTTGTAACTCGTTCAAGTCGTCTGAGGATCGCATTAGCGTGAAACTCTGGCTTGGACAAGGGCCATCTTTTCGTAGGAATTAACACCGTCAAGCATTTTTGGCCTGTCTAGTTAATTTCGTGTTTGAGAACTTTACTGAGTAGTTAGGTGTCTGCCATCAGGTTTTTTTTACTTCTTGTTATCATATTCGAATTTTTATCTAGTTTAAAGGTAGTTAGGTCTTTTTAGTTGTCTGATGGTGGAATTCTTGATTTTCTGTAATTTATATATATATATATATATATATATATATATATATATATATATATTGATGAATGTTTCATTAAATAATATAGATAAGTTTCGTCTATTTATTTTATGGAAATTCTTTTCATATCGTCTGATAAGCTTAATAACATTATCATTAAAAGAAGAAAGAAAATCACAATATTCATACATATTTTTTTTAATCCTATCTAAGCTTTCGGCTTACATAAGCCATTAAAAACAGATGACAATTACATAACAATATATTAACCCATACACGAACAAAACAATAATGATAGTCTGTTTATATTTACATGGAAGATTTCCAAACAACGACAAATTCGTGCATACGAGACGCTAGAAGCGAAAATCGCACCGGAGCGCTCCACACGACCACGCGAGAATAAATATATATATATATATATATATATATATATATATATATATATATATTTCAACGCACAGGAGGGTAACTCCAGTAATGCTTAAAACAATTAATATGCATAAATAATAATAATAATAATAATAACAACAGAAATTTTATGAGAATTTTCAATACCCACGGACAGAACAATCAAAACTAATTCCCCGGCATCGTGATCAAGAACAA